TCAACACTTTGGAGTAGTCAAATCTTTGAGCTCAAGGAAAACTTTCTAGGGCCCAGTTTACGAGTCTGTATATTCCTCCAATTTTTTTTGCTGCGGAGGGGGTTTACCACCAAGGCTTTCCTCGCTCAAGGGTATCTGAACCAGTAACTGAGACCCTTCATTGACTGATTTTGATAAGTTTTGAATTATTTCCCAAGTGATAACATTTTAAATGTTCGAGTCTTTATCTGAATGTCTATCTGATTTCGCGCAGGCCCCATCTACTGAGGGAATGGTCCAGATTTTCCAAGAGAAAAATTCTTACAGCTCAATCTTCAAATCTTTGTATTATCTCAACCATTTTCGGGTGTGAAATGCCCTATCACTGCAATTTTCCGCGCTTTACAGCACCTCTACTTTTGATCACTATATGAAGAGAAAAAGTGGACCACTTTTCGTCACTCTCTAGGAGCGCAATTTTCTAGATCAAATGTTCAGTAATAAAGATCCATTTCACGAGATGAGCACAAATTCGGAAATATTTCTTTCATCTTAGATTGTTGATGTTCCTTTTTGATTTCCAGTATTTTTCCTAGTGGCTTCGACAGAGCGAAAACATGCATGTGTCCGCCGGTCAACGGCTACTTGTACTCGGTCCTTTGAATCGTCTCCATTCGATGCTCCCGCCTGCGCCAGCCTCTGGTCCAACCAGCGGCTCATGACTACCACGATTTCACACATTCAAACTTTGCCACAATATAATTGGCTCACCCACCCCGGAAATTCCCCCCCCCCAAGGCTTAGTCTAAGGCTCTCACCTTCCTCCTTGGGATTTGGAGCCGAGCCAGGCGCCGTTCTCTAATCGTCTGTGCTCCGCCATTCGCGGCAGGAGCAGAAGGAAAGTGCAAGTAGTCGAGTAACCGCCTGTGGTCAGGAGGAGTTCTGTGGGATAGAACCATACTAGGCATCCGATAAAGGCTCAATGCTGGAAGGTTGGCGGAAAAAACGGTATTTTATCCACCACTCCCGGTAGCACAAGTAGGAAACAAAACTGCCGGAATGATTTTACCATTTCTGGGAATGTAGCACAGAGAACGCGATTGTCGTATTTGAACGGGGTCGTTTTAGCGTCTCGTTCACCCATTCGTTCCAACAGTACACGCGTAACGTTACTTGAAACAGCCTAAAGAATCCACTATCAGTCCAGAAAGCTTTCTAAGTTCCTGAAATTCTCAACACACCTGGCTAGCTATCAGTTTCCCATCACTGACGGTTGCTCCATTCTGGTCCGAGTTCTTGGTTGCTGGTGTTCCTTCTCGTTGCGTGAGGATCATACGTCCTGCTGCCTGCCTGTCAGAACTGCTCTTCAAAGAGGGTAAATGAAGCAGATTCCTACATAGGTGGGGAAGAAGGGATTTATTCAACGATGCGCTTTCTCTCATTATTACTACTTGGTTAAATTTTACAATTTTGGTGGCACAACTTTCAGAGATGAATAACCGAAATTCACATGGTGCACTGATTAAAGCAACAGTCCCAGCAGGGTGGGCGTGGTCGGAAACGGCTGCAATCCCCTCGGCCGATTCCCACTTCGGAGCTGTTCAGCCCCTAGTCAAGAACGTAAGAAGTGTGACTGAACAAAAACTCACCTTGGAAAGCCGCTAGGAGGGAGCTGAAGTGGGCGTGGTCGGAATCGGCCGGGGGATTGCAGTCGTTTCCGACCACGCCCACCCTGCTGGGACTGTTGCTTAATAAGCTTGTA